AATACAGTTGTCAATAAAAACAAACGTTTGGGCTGACTGCATAGACAACTAAGACTGTAATTCAAAAGTGATGCTGCAACAAATGAAACAATAGTCAACAAATTGAAAGCATCGATTTGAATGGCTATTAATTAATTCCGATAAGCAGTAGCTTATAATTTCCCATACGATCGGTTGTGATTCCTCAAATGAATAATGAAGTACCCAGGCTAGCCACCTCTGCTCCAGTGAAGCCAGTTGTATTAGTTGAGCGGAGGCATTAGGCTACAGGAAGCCCTAGCTGACCTAGATTTCGTGCTAGTTGGCACTCATCAGTCAGTCAGCAAGGCAGGTGTATCTGTAATTGCCTTGAAGGAATAACTCATGTCCCTTCTGAGATTCGAACCCGCGTCACTTAGTGACACCTGCAGTCAGAGACGTTACCACTGAGCTATTCAAGATCGCGATTGACCTTCTGTAGGGCTGCATTGAATACGTTTGATTGGACACTAGTTAGTAACTAGTGTAGTGTGTGTATTCATTTGTTTGGTGTAGACTGAATTCTATCAGTTTTCCTGCTGATCGCCTCCAACCATCTCAAGGTGCTGTTCTTTCTCCTTTTCTGTTTTCTTTTTTCTTACATGACTTGCCCCATTCTGATGTAGCCACTTTTGTTAAGTATGCAGGTGACCTCTCTGTCTCTATGCCTGTCAACTCTCAGTCAGATTGTTCCAAATTAAATAACTTTCTCTCGGAAATTAGTCAGTGGTCCTCTTCAAACGGTCTTAAGCTGAATCCGTCTAAATGTCAGGTAGTAAATTTCACTTTCAGACGAAAGCGTGACCTACAACAACTAGCTAGCTCACATGGTCCCACTATCATTGAGGCATAGAGGTTGAAATTACATCTAATGTCAAGTACCTTGGACTTAGTATTTCCTCTGATCTTTCCTGGTCCTCTCACATCTTGCTAGTTACTAGAAAGATGTTTCGCTTAACGTTCCACGTTAGGAAGTTTAGGCAGTCTGGTATAAAGCAGTCTTTGCTTTCTCAGTTTGTCAATTCTTGTATTCTAACCATCCCTCTTTACTGCTCCCCATTAATCTTTCCTGGACTACTTAAGAAAGATTTTGCTTTGCTGCGTAGGGCACTAAAAGCTGTTAGTAGGGCAAATGGGATTTCGTTAAGCCAACTGGTTTACACCATTGTGGATAGACATATAATGTCATGTAAGAAACTAGCGAATACTATATTGTCAGACCCCGAACACTCTCTCTATACGCAGCTCTCTCCTTGCATTTCATCTGGTAGAACTAGAAGCAACTATAGGAGGCTATATGCCAGGACTACCAAGTACAAAAACTCCACAATACCTTGTCTGGCACAGCTGTTATGTGATGAGAAAACTGTTAGGTATGACACGATCAACTTACTGCGGCACTCTAACAAATAGTTCCCATTAGCTTTTGTTCTCCTTTCTTTGTTACTATTATATTGTTGCTCACATATTCTATCACACACTAATTTTATATTTCATATCCTGTGATGCATTGTTTAAAATGTGAATGCAATGCTGTTTTTTATTTCTTTTACTTATCTTTTTTTCTTTTTGTTGTTGTTGCTTTTTGTTTTTAAAATCTTATAAAATTTATGAGGTAATTAGATGCAATATTGTAATGCATGCTGAAAATTCCATACCTATACCACAAATACTGTTTGGAATAAAGCTATTATTATCATTATTATTATTATCGATTATTCAAAGTGTAACGTGACGGCGAGCCACCTAGAATGCTTGACAAACTGCCAAGTTGACTGTTAGAATTCAGTATGCACCAAAGAGAAAGGACCAAACACATTACACTAGTTACTAACCAGCATCCAATCAAAAGGAACCAGTTATATTGGCCGTTGCACTAGGAACTTGATTCTTCGTATTCCAGAACACCCGAAAGTGTGGTTAAATACATGAGTGGTTAAAACCATCAACATTTCTATATACTAAGTCATATCGTTAAAACAAGCCACAAAGCAAATAGCATTGAAGAGTCTTTCTCTATCATCTGTCGGGTAACGAGTAAATTGCTAAGAGCCTCTAAATACTGAACACCCCGAACAGCAGAGGCTATTGCAATTCATTTTAAGTAACCGGAGGTCTCTGTGTGGAAACGAAGCAAATCTAGCTCTGTATTACTACCTTAGTCTGCTATAGAACTGATAAATTCATAGATTCTTGTTGTAACTATAGGGGAATTAAATGAGGACGTTGTCGCCTTGTTCTGTCTGCGCCTGACTAATATGCCTATCTGCTTCTGGTACCTTCCGATTCAGCGAACAACGTAAATATCAAAAGACAAAGTCCGGTCTGTGACTGTGTATTGTAGTACAACAACTACGACAAACTACGACAACGAAGAAACTTATTTAGGAAATGGTATTTATACATTTTTATAACCAATACAGACAGCTAACAGTATTTGAAATAATTGGTGGTAATAGTCAATAACAAAATGCGTGGGAAATGATGATATACCACTTATGCGAGATTAAGAGTCGTTAAGATAATTGAACAATAACAAAGTGTGTGGGATCCTATCAATTCTGTATTATGTTAACTAATTTCAGTAATGCTCAATTATTTTCAAAGTATTGGTGTTGTAGGGATTTTGTTTGATTCGTTGGAGGATCTCATCATGAGCTGACATCAAATACGGAACCATTGAAAACCAGGGACTACTGGACAGCTGTTTTGTCAGCCTAGTTTAGGATTCTTTAGAAGTACGCACCCACCACAGAGGGTTTGGACCCAGGACATTCTGGTTACATGGCAAGCTCGTCGTTCATTAAGTCACTGGGACCCGATCCAATCGCCCGTGAATTCTAACTTCTGCTAATATTCATGACACACCGCGACCATTTCGCAATATCTTCTTCGATGAGTTACTGCCTCATCTTCCACCTGCTGTACCCTACTGGTCACGGCTTCCCACTATAACCAGCCCAGGTAACTGCCTGAATAGGACCAGTCTCTAGTGAGTATCAGATTAATTTTCAAGTATTGATTTTGTAGGGACTTTTGTTTGATTGGTTGGGAAACTTCGTCATGAGCTGACATCAGTTAGGGTTCGAATTTCGGTGTGTGCGTGGTGAGGAAGAGTCCGAAACTAGGCTGACGAAACAGCTGGCCGTCCAGTGCTCCCAGGTGGTTTTCCATTGTTTCTCTAACTGATGTCAGCTCACTAAGAAATACTTCAATCAATGATATCCAGTTAAATCAGTGTTATGCATTGATGCTTATTAATCTCTTACAGGTGCTTTATCACTGTAATCTATAGATCTTATTGATTCAGTGTTATTTAGAAAAACACCTTAATGTTGTTATTAATAACAATAATTCTATGATTATTATATTGAGGCTTGTAACTGTAGAACTTGTTAAGGGAGTTATCACGAAGAATATTCTCTATTCACTGTTTTTAAAGTCTTTTAAGATTTTTAATGGACACTTTTAACCAGTGAAAATTATTTTGTTGAATACAGCCACTAGATGTCCGACAGTAGAGCTCCATTTCATCCTGTTATGTGCTATCCAGTTTTAGTTGGCATCACGATTACTCATAATCTTTCATCTGTTCACAAGACCTTCTCTATGTCACTGTCTGAGCGTCTACCCAAGTCACAGTGTCCCATTCAGGTACCATCTGAATTGTGTCCTGTCTCGTGATATCCTTCAACAGTCTCCATCTGCATTTCCTTCGATACATTCACTGAACAATAGGGTCTTGGTTGATTCGTTGAAAGAGTTCCTTGCTGCTAATTCTTTCTGATCTTCAGCATGAAGGGAGGTGGGAAAGTGTTGATAAAAGCACTTCAAGATGGTTCCTGAAGTGCTTTTTGTGATGCTCTCGCCAAGTCTGCAAAGCAGTGCCTTGATATCAGTCTTGAAGATCCGAATATTGTTCCTTATGCTGAATGCAACAGATTTACAATATAACTTAGATATTGGCTGACTTTCGCATCCTCATATGTGTCACCTGTAGTTGAAACGATGCTGAAAGCAATTATCATTACAATATTAACTCCTTATACCATGATGGCGATTTGAGGGATGCTACAGAAGTAAAAGGGTGCTTCCACCAGACAAAGTTAGTAGTAGAATAGCAGATAAGGAAAAGAAGTTGGTTGATTTGATCTTGAGGGCACGCAGGGGAGAAGTGACTAGGACACGTAATATGCATGTTGAATCAACGTCTTCCTTGACTAGTAATGTTAACTGAAACATAGACCGGAAAAGTGTTATCATTGGACAGATGAAAACATATAAGTCTATGAATACACTCTAACTAGTAGTCGTCTTAGTCACGTGAGGTGAAAACTGATTAAGTCGACTTTCCCAGATGGCAAAATCCAAAGGTTCGTATCTATATTATACAATTACGTCAGCTGAACATTTTTAGAAAAAGACTTTGATTAGCTTTTCTTATCAACAAGTGTTGCTAGTCTTTTTGTAATAGAACTCACACTACTCATAAGTAGTATGTATTTTAAACAAAAATTTAGGCCAATAAAATCGTCTCTCTAGAGGAATTGGAATGGCAAACGACTAGTTGAACGTAGTTCAATGAATGGCATAGAAGAGACCGTATAGAAATGAGGAGATAAGTACTAATGCGTAACCGTACAGTCATATAAATAAGACTGCAGAGACAAGATGAAATGGATATGTTCTGTTAAAGCCTTTACTTCTCTCGGTAAGCACTACTGTTTGACATACAGTATATATATATATATATATATATATCAGTAGTATATACCAGTATACCATTTGGCCCTTTTTCTTCATTGTCCCTTATAATAATCTGAATACATATATTTGATTGCTAAAGGAGACTTGGGGCAGTTTTCATCTCAAACTGTGTCATTTCACCCTAGCTGATTAGTGTAGAAGAAGTTTAAGTATTCAACAGGAAAAAGAGAACACTCCAACAGACGAATAATAATAATAAAAGGCAATCGACTAACCGTTTCATTTATTGTTTGTGTATATTTATCAGCTGAAGCAGAGATTTCACTGACGGCGTAATTCTCAGTCGACATTAAATCACCAATCTGTGTCATTATTGAGACTTCTTTCTTCTTCTGCTTCTTTTTCGCCTTTTCAACTAATTTATTTGATGATGCAGGAACAGGAGTCTTATTGTCAGATTTCGCTTTTCCACTAGAATTGCTAAAAGGATCAGATAATTCCCATACTGGGAACTCTTGTATTGTAGACTCTTGTCTAAGCTGTCCATTCATCAGTATTGAATGATCCTATAGAAAGTAAATCAATAAATATAAACAAAGTAAAAAAAATTAAACAATGATAAAAATAAGTGCTGGTGTCCCCCAAGGTGCTGTACTCTCCCCACTTCTCTTTTCTTTCTTTCTACATGACTTACCATTTTCAAATGACATTAATTTTGTAAAATATGCTGACGACCTGACTGTTTCTTTGCCTGTCAAATGTCAAAGCGACTGCTCTAAACTTAATGGCTGTCTGTCAGAAATCAGCCAGTGGTTCAAGAAAAACGGACTCACCTTAAACCCCTCCAAATGCCAAACAGTCAATTTCACCTTTAGACATAAATCCGACCTAAACAAGCTGGTTGGCTCTCACGACGTGTGCAACATAGGTGACACTGAAATAGAAACCAAGTCGGAAATTAAATACCTAGGCGTCATTCTACCTGCTGATCTCTCCTGGTCGTCTCCTATCTTGATGATTTCTAAGAAAATATTCCGTCTTATCTTCTACATCAAGAAGTTAAGACATTCTGGTATAACCCTCCAACCCTTACTCCTACAATTCGTTAACTCTCACATTCTGCCTATTATTCTCTATTGTTCCCCCTTAGTTTTTCCAGAGCTACTGAAGAAGAACTATACCTTATTACGCAGGATGTTAAAAGTTGTCAGCAGGGTAAGCAACGTGCCACTTTACCAGCTTGTTAATATTCTGGTTGACAGGCACATGGACGCATGTGAAAAGTGGGCCAAATCCATTTTATCTAACTCACACCACCCTCTTCACTCACAACTCTCCCCTTGTATCTCATCAGGTAAAACCAGAAGCCTATATAGAAAACTATACGCTCACACTAGTAAGTAAAAAAACTCAACCATACCCTAATTAGCTCGTGTTCTGTGCGATAAAAAAAGCATTAAGCGTGATACCTATTACTTATTAAATAGTCAGTAGAAAAACTGGATCTCGTCTTTCCAATTCATATCACTTATAGGTACAACGTTTTCTTTCTTTCTTTTCCTTTTCTCTCTCTCTTTTTTCTTCTGTTATGTGCTGCTTCGTTTCTTACTTCCGCTTACACCAGTAAATATGGTAGTATCTATTTTTCTAACAGCTTCAAACACTGTTCAGCTTTGGCTTTGCTACCGACATGTCAATGTGTTGTTGTCATAATGAACTGAGATTTCCTTAATCTATGTAGAATTCTATCTATTGATGATGTACTAACTGGATGCAATACTGTAATGAAATGCTGAGAATTCCATTCTGTATCACAAGTACTGTTTTTGAATAAAGCAAATTATTATTATTTCAAAAAAAGTAGAAAGCTTAGGTTGAATTCTAATTAAGGTGTATATTGATATTATTATTATTCCCTTGGTTATCGAGGGGAGATTGGAAGGACTTCAGCTGAATACCTCCAGCTTGTCATGTGTTCTCTACAGTCGTCTTTATCTGGATCCAAAATGATCCTCTTATCTCCTCCACCTCCTCCTTCTCACACGATTTCCTCCGTGTTACCCTCTGACCCTTGTCTATCTTATCATTGGCCAAGTAAGTTCCATTGGAGTGTCTGGCGCGTGATGTCACTCAACCATCTTATCAGAGTGTATCCGATCCATCTTCATTTAATTCGGAGTATTTGTCAAGTCGATGCGTCGGTGGCATAACGGTAGAATGCTCACCGACCATGCATGAGGGCCAAGGTTCGATTACAGGCTGACTCACCTCTTTCCTACGCTAAACAAGTAATAAGATTGGTAAAGAGGGAATCCCCGTATGTACCACTGAGAATGTACAGGAATAAAACAAAAATTTTCGGGTCAGAGGTTTTTGGTTGGTTCATCACTTGACAGAATTCCACACTGCATATCTTTTCTAGCCATATGTTCTTCAACAGGGAGCCAGTGAAGACAGCTGTTGATTAATGTTTGCCATTAGCTCATTGAAAATGCTTTTCGTCACACACACACTCACCAAGTCCTTGGAGCGTGTACAAGAACTGACTGACTTAACATCAGTGTTGAAAATCCGAGTTTTAGTATAGTAGATTCCCACACTGATTTCAGATTCATGAAAGTCTATCTTGATTTTCCGATCCTGATTGTTTTTTTGAAATCCTCATCCATACTGCTTGTAGTTGAAATGACGCTGGCTAGGTAAGAGAAAGAGGTTGTCTTCTTCAAATTTCTCCCATTGGTAGTGATTGCTGCTTGCTGCTGTTGTTGGTTTCTTGGGTACCTTCATCATCTCTGACTTCTCTATGCCCACCTAAAATCCTGTCCTCATTGCCAGCCTCTTCTGCTGACTTGTCGTTTTTAAACTGTATATCTTCAAGTTTGCTCAACACAACACAACGTCTCGACCTTCTACAAGCTTCTTGCCGATCCAACGTATGTTTGTCTTCTACCGCGTGATCCAGTCCATCATAATTTAGAATGTCAATAAGTATATATCCAGTGTAAGTACTCTATATACTACTTATATCTAAAAATAGGTACTATACACCATAATGTAAAAAAGATCGTAGACAAGATAAGCATGCTTCATAGCCTCCTAGAAACATCTGGGTTATTATACAGATGCTAATGAAAGTGTGCTCCAATTATCTGTCTATAAGAGACGTAAACTTTTAGCGTTGTCTCATACATTTCAGCGAATTGGCACGTACTTCACATATAAATCCTGCGCAACAGGCTACAAACTTCCGTCGACAACTGCCTACTTCACTCCATACTGAAGATCAGATGGCAGGGTAGGAAGTGATTAGTAACAAGAAAATCTGTTAAGGAACTAAACAAGAATCTGTTTCCCCAGTAAATATTCACAGGGAAATCGAGATTGATTAGATATACACTGAGGAGACCGCTGAGCAAATTTACGCACCAGGTAAACCCTCGAGTGGAACCCTTGAGCATCATTCCAAGGGTGAAATGGAGGAGATCATGTGAAAAGGAGTAAACGACAGCTGATGGCTAATTGTGAATACTGTAGACAGCAAGATGAAATGGAGATGTCCTGGTGAAGCTCTATGTCCCACCTGGAATCCAAGGGAATAATAATGTGTCCTAGTTCGAATAATTTGCACTCTATTTGAAATAAACTAAATATAGTGGCAAATAGAGTATCAACTAAAATTAGGGAGATTTCTGCAAAAAATTGAGGATCGTTCCAACCTAGATGGCCATAGGGGTAAGGATAATGTCTGAACTAGCTTCTTTTGGACACATAAGTAAGGCCTCTTAATGTGGATCCCAACGGCCCCAGAAATATTTAGTAAACGAAATCCTAAGGCCAAGTTAAGATTTGTTGGTATTCACTAAATGACTTTGAAAGTCGCCTTGTTAACGTCAATCTTGTGTTCTGTATCCACAAGATAAGATAGAATAGAGCTGTGAACAGATTTTGTTTGTCCTTTACTTAACCACCACCGTGTAGGGTGATGTTCGGAAATCCTACTAGAAACACGCCTAATTGTATGGCCTACGTAACTGGCTCTACAAGAGCAGTTAAATTGGTAAATACACATGGAAGAGGCGAAATCAGGCAGTTCGTCTTTTACGCCCGAAAGCAAAATAGAGGCGGTTTTGAAGACAGCGTGGTTCAGCATCAGGGAATTTTCTTTTTACCGCATTTATAAGGCTATGTGTTAGTATCTTGCTGATGTTGTCCCCAAGGAACTGCATTCGTAAGAATAAGGCCTTGTTAGGAACTGTTAGTACCTTGGGCTGCTTTGATTTCAGATTCATATTCTTATCAATAAACTTTTCTGGATAACCGTTTTCACTCAGCACTCGTTTAATATTATTAAGTTCCTCATCAAGACATTCATCCGAGCAAATCTCTATTGCTCTGTGGACCAAGCACTTTATTAGATTGCGTTTGTAATTCAAGGGCACAAAGCTGAGAAAATGTGTGTACTGGCCCGTTGATATAGGTTTTCTATAAACACTTCTTCTTATTGTGCCATCCTCTTTTCTGGTCATAAGGACGTCTAGAAATGAAATACTAGAGTCTTTTTCTTTCTCAATAGTAAAATTTATTGCAGAATGAACCTCGTTAAATTTATTCAGGTTGTTCTTTGCTTCCTTCTCATTTTTCATAACCAAAAAAGGTATCATCCATGTACCGACAATAGAATTCAAGTTCATCAATAACATCCGTCAAAGGCCCATTTTCTAGTTTCGCGAGGATGTCCCAAAGAAATTAAGCGAAGAAATATTTACTTTTCAATTAGATCCTCATCTCACTCTGTCTCTACTCTAATATATCATGTATATCACTTTTATTACAATATACAACAATTTACCAATCATCAAGTGGCACTGATATGTTTGTGAACAATAGCTAATCATTATCAGCATTTCACAGGGCTTTGATAATGAAGAACCAAGATAGATAATTCAAGTAATTAAAGGGTAGAAATCAATGCAACAATGATAACATGTAATTAAAGATGTGGAATAGTCAGAAAAATAATAAAATAAAATAATTTGGACAGTTAATATTTCAAGGGTTCATGGTCGAAATAGTCCGGTTTATACATTGATGTAACGATGACCAAGGTAAGGAAAGTGGGTATACAACTTTATTCTTTTTTGTCCCTCGCTTAGCCATGCAGGATGACGTTCGGAAATGTGATGATGAACCTGCCTAATTTTACTCCCAATGTGGCTGGCTCCGCAGCTGCAGTCATACTGGTAGATACACAAAGAGGAGGCAAATTTAGGTAGTTTATCCTTATTTCTCGCGTGTGGAATAGGGGTGTCTGTGAAGAAACAACGTACTTGTGCTTCCCTGGAAGCTCTTTTAACTGCATTCTTCAGGCACTGTGTTACTATTTCGCTGATGCTGTCACCAAGGAACTCCAGTTTTATGAACAATGGATTTTTTTAGCTTTTGCCATACTGACTCTCCTAGGTGATGAATTCATATTTTTCTCAATGAACTTGTCTGGATAACCATTTTTACTAAGTAATTCCCTAATAATCTTGTAACGACAGGAGACAAAGGCCAGACAACAGAT